CCCAGGTGTTGTGTAGTCCATGAAGGATTCTATTGGACTTCAAGGTCCTGGCCCTAGCAGAGACCAGTTGAACTCATCACTTCTTTCATTTTGAGCTCCTCTCCCCTTGTGAGGGATTTTTTTCCTCTTTGGTGAGAAAGATTGGCCCTGAGCTAATATCTGTTGCCAATCTTCTTCTTTCTTTCTTTTTTCTCCCCAAAGCCACAGTACATAGTTGTACCTCCTAGTTGTAAGTCATTCTTATTCTTCTTTGTGGGACACCGCCACAGCATGGCTTGATGATCCGAACTGGCAAACCCTGGGCCACCAAAGTGGCACGCACAAACTTAACCAGTTGGCCACGGGGCTGGCCCTTGTAAGGGATTTTTTGGTTGTAAGTGACAGAAACCCTACTCAAGCTAGCTTACAAAAAGGGAATTTATTGATTCACATAAAAGTGCAAAAGCAGACATGACTTCAGGGCAGCAGGATCAGGGACTCAAACCTGTCTCTCTGCCTCTCCCCTCTGTTGGTTTTATTCTCAGGCCACCTTGTTACCGCACCAAGGGCACAATCTGCTCACCTCAAGACAAAAGCCAATCATCAAGAGGCAAGATGGTGGCAGAGAAAGGGCATTTTATTACAGCTTGCTAGCAAGAGGGAAGATGGCTGACTAATGTCCAAAAGAACCGTCTTCAGGAGGGCACAGAATCTTCAAGCAGTTATAGAGGCCAGTGGGCCATAGGGGAGGGGTTAGGAACGTTGACCCTCTGGTGTTACAGACTGAGAGTCAGCAGAGCAGATCTTTCAGTTTCCATTGATGATGGCTATCAGCATAGACTCTCTGTTCAGGGGCCATCACATTCCTAAGGACTCAAAAGAACGAAGATATTGTCTTATAGCTGGGAGGTACATGCACAAGCAGGGGTCATAAAATCTACACAGCAGGGCTGGCCCCGTGGCGCAGCAGTTAAGTGCGCACATTCTGCTTCAGAGGCCCAGGGTTCACCTGTTCAGATCCCGGCTGCGGAGATGGCACCACTTGGCAAGCCATGCTGTGGTAGGCGTCCCACATATAAAGTAGAGGAAGATGGGCATGGATGTTAGCTCAGGGCCAGTCTTCCTCAGCAAAAAGAGGAAGATTGGCAGCAGATGTTAGCTCAGGGCTAATCTTCCTCAAAAAAAACCCACAAACCATTTCATGGCTCACAAGTCTGTGGATTGGGCAGGGCTCAGTGGGGATGCTCCATGTGGTGTCAGGTGGGTGCTTGACTGGGGCTGGAGGATCCAAGATGGCCCTGTTCACATGTTTTAAGACCCTGGTCCTGGCTGATGGCTGGGCCGTCCTGGTTCTCCAAGTGGCTGTTCTCTCCTCATGGCTTCTCACCATTCTGCAGTCTAACCCACACTTCTGTACATGGTGGCTGGCTTGTAAGAGAACAAAGCGGAAGCTGACAGTTCTCTTAAAGCCTAGGCTCCAAATAGGCAGTATAACTTCCTCCACATTCTCTGGAGCAAAGCAAGGCCAGCCCAGGGTGAATTGGAGGGGAAATTCTTCTTCTTAATGGGAAGAGTGGCAAAGTCACATTGCAACAGGGCATTTGGGATGGCAGGGACTTTTGCCGTCATCTTTGAAAATGATCTACCAGAGACAGTACAGAGTTTCTTTTCTAGTAATTTGAGCAGAAGTCCTGCATGGATTATGCTTTGGCCCTGCTTGTGTCACATGCTCACCTGTGAACCAGTCTTGGTAGGTAGGGAAGAGAGGATGCGTTGACTGGCTGCTTCCAGGCCATGCATTTCCCAGAATGGGCCATATGGCTCTAGAATGATGAGGGGCAGGTCCCCAAAAGAAAACTAGGTGCTGGTACCAGAAGAGGAGGGAATAGCTGTGGAACTGGTTAAAACTATTGCTGTTCTGGGGCTGGCCCAGTGGCGTAGCAGTTAAGTTCGTGTGCTCCACTTTGGCGGCCCGGCGTTTGCAGGTTTGGATCCCAGGTGCTGACCCAGTACTGCTTGTCAAGCCATACTCTGGCGGCATCCCACATAAAATAGAGAAAGATTGGCACAGATGTTAGCTCAGTGACAATCTTCCTCACAAAAAAACAAAAACAAAAAACAACTGCTGCTCTTCTGCCCCGTCGGGTTGCCCACAGTGTGGCCTCTAGTTGTTCCTCCAGCCTCACGCCCCTCTTTCCATTTCAGCTAATCTTCCCCTTCACAGTTCTCCTTCCTTTTCACAGTGGCTGTGCTTCCCTGGTCTCCCCAAATGGTCACCCAAGTCTTGCCTCTTGGCCTGGCCAAACTCAACCTGATTTTCAAGGAACAGTCTAAGCGCCTCTTCTCCATGAACCATTTCCTAACAACCAGGTGAGTGAGGTAAGGAAGACTAAAGGAGGGTCAAGGCCGCTTGATGTGGAGGTAAAGAGATGAGAGAGAAAGACCTGAGGACCCCTCCACCCTTCCAGAAAAGAATCTTCAAGCAAAACCAAAGCCAACCACATCGAAGCTTGTAGAGTTACTTCATGAATCATATTTCACATTGAAAATGTTTTGTTTCATTTTGCACAAAGATGTTCATGGCAGCATTAATTATAATGGCAAAAGCTGGAAGCTCCCCAAATGTCCTGCACTAGGGAATGACTCATAATGGTCAAGACTCTTTCAGCAGTAAGTGACAGACACCCAGCTCAAACTAGCTTATGCACAATCGGGAGTTCAGTAGCTCAGGAAACTGGCAGTCCAAGGGGCTCAAATGATGTTGTCAGGCCCCCTCCATCTCTTGGCTCCGCTTCCCACAGGTATGGGGCTCATTTTCTCCCACTGTTGACTAGTTTCCTCCACTGTGGGGGAAGGGAGGCCAAGACACAGATTGCTCCATTCTTTATTCCTGCTCTGTGGCCTTGGAGGAAGGGGGAAGCAGCTCTGAAGGAGGCTGCTCTGATTTGGGTGACTTCTCATTCCCGGGCCAGTCTCTGTGGCCAGAGGAATGGGATACCGTGGTTGACCAAACCTGGTCAGGTGGCCAGGAGGAGGCTCTTGTGGTTGGCTGTCCCACTGGAACCATATGGAGTCGGGTAGGGGATGAAGAATTTCCTAGAAGACTTTTACTGCTGGTATCAAGATGGCAAAATCCAGCTGATGCAATATTATATTCCAGGAAAAGGTATAGTTACAAAGACCATGTAGCAACATGAAATACGGTTATAAAGCAACACTAAGAGAAAAAGGCGGAATATGGACTTGAAACTGTGACGGCACCTTTGGAATACAGAAAAATAGAAACCTTTTGCTCTGTGGGGGTGCTGGGAGGATGAATCATTACATTAAAAGCCATCAGTACCTTTGCAAAAACATTTGTACAATAAATAAAATGTGTTTGTGCAAAAATGACCTGATATATATCACGTGATATGATTTTCAGAGCTCAGTTTATTTTTGGAATGAGATGGGACATAAATAAGCAGAGGGTGATTTGTGTAGATCTGAAAAGTCATGGTTCTCATCTTTGTGGTTGCTTTGAGCAGTGGGCCCAATGGAACCGCTTTGTCAGGAGTGTCAGAAAATTCTCAGTGTAGCTCCGGGACCTTCAGTTCCCCAAAACATGCTGTCCTGCCTTTGGGAGGAGGGAAGTGTCTCCCCAACAGACTGACAGGTGAGAAGCCTCCAGGTGGGTCTGTCTGGCGGGGATAGAGAGGGGAAAAGGAAAGAAGGTCAGATGGGCCAGGGAGGGCAGGTAAAGGCCCGGGGGCGGCCCAACCCACCTAGTTCCTCTTCTTTTGCCCACATCCCACTCAGACCTGGGGTGGTTCCTGTGGTACCAAGTGCCATTCACGTCTGCAGCCTAAAACCAGCACTTTTGCGTTATCTTTTCAAACGTTAATAATAATGCTAAATGTGTGCGCGTGTGTAGGATTTCAATTCAGCTTGGTTCAATTCATCAAATATTAATCTCTTATTATGTGCCTGACTCTGTTCCAGCACTTTAGGACACATTGCTGAAAAAAACAGATGAAGAGCCTGCCTCCAGGAAGCTTACTTTCTAATGTGAAAAGATAATGAAGTATAAGCATAATATGTCAATTTAATTGTAAACTATATGGGATGTTATAAGGAATGATTGCTATGGGAAAAAAGGGAGGTTGGGAATGTGGTGTGAGGTTGTCGGTTGCAATTTGAAAGAGTGGTGGTGGAGGCCTCATTGAGAAGGTGATTTTTGAGCAATGACTTCAAAGAGGTGAAGGAATCGTCCATGCAGATGTCTTGAGAAGGAGGTTTCCAGGCAGAAGGCACAGCCAGTGCAAAGGCCCTGAGGCAGGAATGTGCCTGAGAGGAGAGGTTAGGGAGGACAGAAAATATAGGGTCTTGTTGGTCATTGTAAGGACTTTGGCTTTTATTCTGAGGAAAAGGGGGTTAAAACATATTTTCATCCCAGCTTTCTGACTTTTCCTCCCAGTGTCTTGTTTGGAGGGTGTGTGTGTGTGTGTGTGTGTGTGTGTGTGTGAAGGTCTGGCCAAGGCAGGCACCTGTGCGTGGGTAAAGGCCCCCAGAGTTCATAACTGCCCTTGCATCTTCCTCCCACTATCTTGCTTCCCAGGCTGGGGTGTGGCTCATTCCACCCCCTCAGTTGTTTTTATGACACACTCCCTCAGCCCTGGGAATTCAGCTTCTCAACCATAGAGCAAATTAAAGGTGAGGGGGACCCCTACCCCCACCCCACCCAGGGGTACTGACTCCCAGCCAATCAACATCAAAGCCTCTGAGTGGGACAGGGAGAGGCAGGGGGCTGGGACCGAGAGAGACAGGAATGGAGAAGGGTGAGCGGAAAGGGGTCGAGCAAGCATCATACCCACTTGGAGGAGACAGGTCTCAGATCTCTCTCCCCACCTCCCCATCTCCCAACCCCCATCCCGGCCCTCGCTCCTCCTCTCCACACACACACACACACACACACACACACACACACAAGCCTGACACAATGGCCGGGTGGGGCTGAGGAACTGGCTTCCTCTGCGGAGATCTCAATCTGGGCCCTCAGTTCCCGCCCCAGAAACACAGGAACAGACACTCGGAGACCTGGCCCCATACTCCTTGCTCCAAGGGGCAGGCAGGACAGGCTGAAAATAGAAACTGCTTCCAAAAAGATAAAGGTAAATTTACGGGGAGCTACTGCAGAGTTAGGGAGGAGAAACCTGGGGTGGGGGTCCCTTGGTGTGAAAGAACAGGCTGGCTCACACCCAGGGGGACAGCTTGGAAGCTAAAGGGACAGGCTGTCTTGCGAGGTGTGGGAGAGATGGTCAGATATGCCCTGGAGGGACACCTACACCATCCCTTAGCTGATACAGAGGAGTCTAGATGTCCATGCCATGCCACTAGCCCAGCCCTGTGCCAATGCCACCCCATCCTCACCCCACCCCTGTCCACCCCCATCCACACAGCAATGCAGACAGAACGTACGCATACAGAACAGCCCACTCTCCACGCCTGAGTTTAGCTTTTCCCTAGACCCTGTTAACCTCCAGGACCCGGGGTACCGGGTCCCTCACATCTTCCAGAGCCTCAGTGTGCGCATGTGGAGTGTGGTGTGGTTTGGTGGGGGGGGTGTCCGGTTGGGAGGAGAATCCAATTCCTGTTTCCTGCCCCTACTCACTCAGCCCTGGGAGGTGACTGAGAGTGGAGAGGACTCAAGGGTGAGTGCTTGGGCCGAGTACCTGGGTCCCTGTGAGAGGCCTGAGTGGGGGGTGGGAAAGGAAGTAAATTCAGGCACCTGAGAGGGGGTGGGATCCCTGGGGGGGGGGGGCATGACTGGGGAGGAGCTGGGCAGCTGGTGAGGCCACTGCCTGGGTCACCTAGATAAGGGGCTTCCTGCCAGAACACAGAGGCCATTGAGCTGCAAGACTCAGTCTATAGCCCCCAGCCCCCACCTCGCATCATTTCTCAAGAACCCAATCTGAGGCCTGGAGGGGTCTGACTCTCTTGCTGACTCCTGAAGGGAGTCTGGGGGTGCCCCCATCTCCCAGCCCTGACCCTGCAGCCTCTTCAGGATCACAGCCTCCTTCCCTGAGGGAGGAAGTGAAGGCCAGGCCCCAGAGTCCTGGCCCCACTGGTCCTCACCTTCAGTCTGGTCTCCCAACCGCCCGCCAGGAACCCTGGCAGGACTCCGGCTTCCACTGAGGCCTCTGTGACCAGATGGAGGGACAGAGAGCAGGCAGGGAAAAGAGGATGGGGCGGGAGAGACCATGCCCAGGGCCTCCTGGTCTCTTGGGGTCAGTGGCTCCAGGAATCTTCATGGCAGGAAAAGGAGACTAAAAATAATCCGGAAAGGGAGAGTCCGGAGAGAGGAACTGGGAAATGGGGGGCGGAGGGCCCACTGGAGCGGGGAAATAGTGATGCATCCCTCATCACTCAGGCATGAACGCACGTGCACAGATACACACCACTGCACAAAGGCCCCACACAGACAGTACATGGCACACATGAAGCCTTGCAACCCTCTCCACCACACACCACACACTGTATACTCCACTCTCTTGCTGCACACCCGCCCAGTAAGCACACAGCAAGTATACTCTCGGAACACACATAACACCCCATTCACATAGCACCAGGAACAGCACACACACACCATGTCCACACACACTTAAACCACACACACAAACCTCCACAACACACATTACAGACACACAACACAATTCGTCAGGCAGACACGTCGTGGCAATGCCGGCAAGCCCAATTCCCCTTACTGATCCAGTTCTCTTGCACTCCACCCCGCAACTGGAGTCTCCACCTAGGTGCCCCCACCCCAGCTTCACTGTCTCTTCTGGCCTGACTGTGGCAGCAGAAGCCAAAAGACTGAAAAAGAAATGGAGTCTGGGAGGGCCAAGAAAGGCTACCGGGGTGGGGGTGGGGGGGTCCAGGGGCCTCAGAGAATGGATGGAGAAGGAAGGGTGAGAGGTGGAGAAGAGAGAAGAGAGTGGAAATGAGAAGGAAGGAGAGGATGTGCGCCAGCCTTCCCTCCCGACTCCAACGGCATGGCTCATTTGCTTGCAAATGATTTCTGCTGGCCTCAGTCTACCCCCTGGGTGGCACTAAGGGTCTCTCTTTCTCCCTCTCTCCTCCTCAGGGGATGACTCCAGCAGAGTACCCCACTCCTTTGAAGAGCTCAGAGGAGGATGTCAGCCCAGTCACTTCCTGCAGCAACACCCCCTACCCAGAAGCCCCCTCGGATCATCCGCCCCCGGCCCCCCTCTCGCCCCCGGGCTGCCCAGTCCCCAGGGCTTCCCCACAATGGCTCCTCTCCACAAGATCCTCCCCTCACCTCCAATGATGCACCATCCCCAATGTGCACCCCCATCTTCTGGGAGCCCCCAGCCTCATCCCTCAAGCCCCCTGCCCTTCTGCCGCCCTCAGCCTCTAAAGCCAGCCTTGACTCCCAGACTTCCCCAGACTCGCCTTCCAGCACCCCTAGTCCAGCATCCCGGCGCTCTGTCTCCCCAGAACCTGCTCCCCGCTCTCCAGTTCCTCCACCCAAACCCTCTGGGTCACCCAGCACACCTTTGCCCCTGCTTCCCACGGCCCAGGTCCCGGCCCAGGTCCCGGCCCAGGTCCCGGCCCAGGAAGGCTCTGCCTCGGCCCCAGGCACTGTGCGGAGACTGGCTGGCAGGTTTGAATGGGGGACTGAAAGTAAGGTCCAGGCTGCGGACACCCTGGAGCCAGGTCCCCAAGGGGGAGTGGAGGTGAATGGGGAGAGAGAGACTCCCCAGGGCACCCTCACCAAGAGTGGGTCCCACGAGAATGGTGCTCCAGGTAAGCATGTTGTAGGTCTAGGGTGGGCTCAATCCAGCTCGTCTTTTTTGTTTTCAGTGCTGTAAGCCTGGGTACTCAGGGGCTACCTTTGCAAAAGTGAATTTCATGTTTGGAAAACCTGGTTTCCATATTCCTGGGGGTTTGAGGAGAGTCAGGCTTGAGGAGACAGATGCCTGGGGCTGGACTATGCTCCCACTGCTGGGCAGGTTAAGGGGAGGATGGAGGCCTGGGGAGGGTGGGACCAGGCCCCAAGGGCCTTCTCCTTAGGACACCCCTGTCTCCTACAGATGCTGCTCTGGTCTGCCCTCCCTGCTGCCCCTGTGTGTGCCATGTAGCCCGGCCTGGCCTGGAGCTCCGATGGGTCCCTGTGGGGAGCAAAGAGGACGGTCCCAGGGCTCCCTGCCGGGCCTCCCCACTGCGGACCTCCCGCTCCCGCCCTAACCCTCCAAGCATCAGTCACCCCCCAGTCGTCCTCACATCCTACCGCTCCACTGCTGAGCACAAACTCCTGCCGCCCCTCAAACCCCCCAAACCAACTCGCGTCAGGCAGGACGCCACCAACTCTGGAGATGCCCCACAGCCAGATCTCGATGCACTCTGTGAAGACGGAATCCAAACAGGTATAAGGCCTGGGGGAGTGGGATCTCTGGGCTAGGAAGGGAAGGGGTGGAGGTGGAGTACTCTAAAAACCAACAAACTACAACCCCTAACAGGCCCTGGGATTTTTTTTTCCTCCATCAGCAACTGCTCTGGGGCTGATGGGAGTTGTAGTTTTTATATTAATAGTCTCTGCTGGGGTCAGAGTCAGGAGCCCTGGGCTGGGGATCCTGGAGGCTTGTCCTCTTCACTCTGGGTTCTCTCTCCAGGAGACAGTCAGGATGAAGCTCCTCAGAATGCTCCTCCAGCAACCATGGAGGGCAGGTACCTAACACCCCGACCCTGACTCCTACCTGAGGGCGGACTAACCTTCAGGTCCAGCTAAATCCCACCTCCACAAAGGTGGAGTGAAGGGCTGAGGCTCTGGAGATAAGAAGTCCTGGTTTCTAATCCCAGCTCTGTCCTTTATTAGCTATGTGACCTTATACAAGTCACTTAACCCTTCCGGGTCTCAGCATCCTCATCTGTGAAATGGGGGTAAGCATACCAACTACTTCTTAGAGTTGTTGGGGTAGGATGATGGTAAAGAGCTGGGGCCATCGTAAGTGCTCCATTGCAGTTCCCCGACTTTGAGCCTTTATTGCAATTATTGTCTGCAAATCCATTTGACAACCATGAACATCTCTTCTGTGTTATCTGGGCCTGTTAATCACTTTAGATTCCCCACTGCTACCAGAGTTAATCCGAGTCCATTCATTTATCCAACAAACATTTACCAGTGTTCATTCTCCCAGGTTTTTATCTTGGGTGAATGGGTGTGTGGTGGCGCTGATGACCAGAACAGGTAGTGGGGAGGTGTAAGAGTTTGGGTTTGATCATACTGAGTTTCACGGAAGCACAAATAGGACATTCCAGACAATGGTTGCTACATGAGAGGGCTGAAGAAAGAGACTTGGAAGTCTCTGGTACATAGTGGTTGAGATGATAGCAACAGATGGAGCCCACTTAGTTCAGGGCCTCCGATATAACAGGCACATTAAAAAAATCTGGGGTTTGGTCTGGGGAGCCATCAGGGTCCCTGCATACAACCCGCATGTGGGTTGTGCACTCCTTCATGCTCTCACGTGAATAGCACCCCCCGGAGGTGTGCAACAGCGGGGACTCTGGAGGACTCCATCCCTTTCTCTCTCCACAGGGACGAGGAGGGGCTGGACGAGCTGAAGGGGCAGAACTGGGAGCTGCCCCTGCAGGATGGTGAGGGCCTCTGGACGGGGGGCTCACTGCCGTGACCGTCGAGCAGTGGGGAAGGGTGCTGGGGCACTGGACTTTCCTGATGTGCTGTGTCTACTCTCCAGAGCCCCTGTACCAGACCTATCGAGCAGCCGTGCTGTCAGAGGAGCTGTGGGGGGTCGGTGAGGATGGGGGTTCCTCTCCAACTAATGCTGGAGAAGCTCCCACCTTCCCACGACCCCCTGGCCCTCGCAACACACTGTGGCAGGAACTTCCAGCTGTGCGAGCCAGCGGCCTCCTGGACACCCTCAGCCCCCAGGAGAGGCGCATGCAGGAGGTGGGCACCCCTGGGGTCTGGCCGGGCGGAGCTGGTGTAGGGCAGGAGTGTGACCTGCGCCCTAGGCTGGCTGGGAGCTGGGCTTTTGGCCATTGCCCTGCCCTTCCTCCTCAGAGCCTGTTTGAGGTGGTGACATCTGAGGCCTCCTACCTGCGCTCCCTGCGGCTCCTGACGGACACCTTTGTGCTGAGCCAGGCCCTGCGGGACACACTCACCCCCCGAGATCATCATACCCTCTTCTCCAACGTGCAGCGAGTCCAGGGAGTCAGTGAGCGGTCAGTGGGGTCCCGTCCTCTCAGCAAGCCAGGCCCCGGGCTGCGGGTACTCCTTAGCTTTCTTCCTGTCCCAGGGCCTCCCTTCCGTAGGCCCAGTGGGTGCCCCGACCTTCCCTTGAGAATCGGGAGACCTGGCTCTCTGCCCCCTCCATTGCTTGTGCCCCCACTCCTCCAGGTTTCTAGGGACGTTACTGTCCCGTGTGCGCTCTTCCCCCCACATCAGCGACCTGTGTGACGTGGTGCATTCCCACGCGGTGGGGCCTTTCTCGGTGTATGTGGATTACGTGCGCAACCAGCAGTACCAGGAGGAGACCTACAGCCGCCTCATGTGAGTGCGCCCGAGGCGGGGGCCACGTCACCCTTGTGGGAGGAAGCCGAGGGCAGGCGTGGGGTCCAGGCCAGGGCAGCCGGAGGGATCAGGGCCTCGAGGCAGACGAGGCACACGCCAGCCGCCTGGGCCTGCCTCTGCAGGGACACGAATGTGCGCTTCTCCGCCGAGCTGCGGCGGCTGCAGAGCCTCCCGAAGTGCGAGCGCCTCCCGCTGCCGTCCTTCCTGCTGCTGCCCTTTCAGCGCATCACGCGGCTCCGCATGCTGCTGCAGGTACCGGCGCTCGCGCCTTCCCTGCCCTGCCACCCCGCTGCAGAACGCTCCCGGGGCCTCCTGCCGCTACCACCACTTCCCACCCCATCATGGACACAGGAATCCCCTAAATCAGGACTCCTCGTCTGGGCCTCTCCGTCCAGGGCCCACTAAGCACGACTTGGAGCTACCCAAATGTCTCAGGGAGCAGACTGGGCACAGGAAAAGAGCCTCTGGCTAGAGAGATGAGTCCTAGACTTAGCTCTGCCACTCACCCGAGTGACCTTGGGCAAGTCCCTCATCTGTCTGGGTCTCAGGGGTGTGTGGTGAGTGGTCTTTTCTCCTCAGCTGTATCTTTCCCTGCATGCCTTCCCAATGGGGGTGATACCACCCCCACCGAGGCAAAAATTCATTCTTTGGAGGGGTAAAAAGAAATCTTAGATATTCCAATGGTTGTAGTACTCTGAAGGGCCATGGTACATAAATAGATGTACAGTATATCTGTGTATTAAAGTTTCATGGTGGGGAGGGCAGTGAGGGAAAAAATGCCTGAAAAGGCTCCTTAGCAGGATGATACTGAAAAAAAAAAAAAAGAAAGAAAAGCAAAAAAGGCTGAGAAACACTCTGCTATTGCAGGGTAGAAACTTCTCCCTAAACCAGGTCACCCGGTGTGGGGATCTCATGTGAAGAGTCCCTAACTAGATTATCAACGTCTTTATTCCTTATTCAGCTTTATATATCCCGAGCGTAGACCACATAAACATAATAATCATAATCATAATGGCTACACAGCTACCGAGTGCTCTGTTCTAGATGTGGCTCTACGTGCTATACACCCAGTTAAACTTGCCAACAGCTGTAGCTAGGAACTATTATTGACCCCACTTAAAAAAAAAAACACCACAATAATCATTTTCTTTTTGAGGAAGATTAGCCCTGAGCTAACATCTGCCGCCAGTCCTCCTCTTTTTGCTGAGGAAGACTGGCCCTGAGCTAACATCCATGCCCATCTTCCTCCACTTTATATGTGGGACCCCTCCACAGCATGGTGTTGCCAAGCGGTGCTGTGTCCGCACCCAGGATCCGAACCCTGGGCCGCTGAGGCGGAATGTGCGCATTTAACCACTGCACCACCGGGCTGGCCCCAACCCCACTTTATAGATGAGGAAACTGAGGCACAGAGAGGTTAAATAACTTGCCCTAGGTCATACAGGTAATAATTGATGGAGACAAAGTTTAAATCCAAGCCCTGTTCACCACTGTGCTATATTGTTTGTACTGATAGTTATGGTTAATAATTATTAAAATAATAGCTACCCTCTTTGCAGCATTTACTATGTCCCAAGGACTATGCTAAGTACACGATTACCTCGAATCCTCACAACAATGTTATTGGTATGCTAGGTGAGAATTACCCCCAATTTGCAGATGGGGAAACTGAGACTCAGAGAAGTAATGTGACTTGCTCAGGGTTATGCAGATGGTGAGTGGTGAAGTCTCTCAGCCTTATTGGGGCTGGTCCCCCAGCTCTGTAAACTCCAAACTGAGCATTTTGCCAAGACAGGCAGGGTCCTCTGAGTTGTAGCCCCTCGGAATCCCAGGGCTGTGGAGCAGGAGCCCAGTGACCCTTCCTCCTTGTCCCCAGAATATCCTACGCCAGACAGAGGAGGGATCCAGCCGCCAGGAGAATGCCCAGAAGGCGCTGGGTGCTGTCAGCAAGGTGAGCAGCAGGGATGCTAGGGCCAGGGAGGTGACGAGGCAGTAGGGAGAGATGGAAGGGGTGGAAGGGAGCAGGGGTGGGTGACTCGGCTGGCCTTACCCAGATCATTGAGCGCTGCAGCGCGGAGGTGGGGCGCATGAAGCAGACTGAGGAGCTGATCCGGCTGACGCAGAGGCTGCGCTTCCACAAAGTCAAGGTTAGTCCCTGCCCAGACTCCCCACCTTCCCTTTCCCCACAGTGCTGGGAGGAAGCCAGACCTCCTCCCTGCTTCCTCGCAGGCCCTGCCCCTGGTCTCCTGGTCGAGGCGCCTGGAGCTGCAGGGGGAGCTGACGGAGTTAGGGTGCCGGAGGGGGGGCGTGCTCTTCACCTCACGCCCCCGCTTTACCCCCCTCTGCCTGCTGCTCTTTAGTGACCTGCTGCTCATCACTCAGCCCAAGAGGTGGGTCCCAGGAAAGGAGGGAGCCCAGGCAGAGGTGGGGAGGAGGAGTCCAGCTGGACCTCTGCTCTCCCCCTCAACTCCCTCTTTCCTGGGCAGTGGGCAGCGGTTACAGGTTCTGGACTATGCCCATCGCTCCCTGGTCCAGGCCCAGCAGGTTCCAGACCCATCTGGGCCCCCTACATTCCGCCTCTCCCTTCTCAGCAACCACCAGGGCCGCCCCACCCACCGGCTACTCCAAGCTTCATCCCTGTGAGTTGTGTCTCCTTCAGAAAAGATCCTTGAGACCCCCACCTGACCTTTCAGAGCCCAGCACCCTCCTCCCCAGTCTCTCTCCTCCGAAGTCCCTGCCTAACGCCCAGGAGTATCTGCTGGGCCAACTGTGACCCCTCCCTCTATCCCCACCAGATCAGACATGCAGCGCTGGCTGGGAGCCTTCCCTACCCCAGGCCCTCTTCCCTGCTCCTCAGACACCATCTATGAGGACTGCGGTGAGTATCTTCTAGAGGGGAGGAGGGAAGGGAAGTGAGTCTTAAGGGGAGTATGGGGGAGAAGCTAAAAAGAGTCTGGGCTGGTGTCATAGTGGTTAGGTTCACGCACTCCGCTTCAGTGGCCCGGGATCCGTGGGTTTGGATCCCGGGTGCAGGCCTAGCACTGCTCATCAAGTCATGCTGTGGTGGCATCCCACATAAAATAGAGGAAGATGGGCATAGATGTTAGCTCAGCGACAATCTTCCTCAAGCCAAAAGAAGAAGATTGCCAACGGATGTTAGCTCAGGGCCAATCTTCCTCACACACACAAAAAAGAGTCTTGATCCTGCTGTAATGTCACCCACCCCAACCAGACTGTTCCCAGGAACTCTGTTCAGAGCCTTCTGCACCGTCCAAGACCGAGGGACGGAGTCTGGAGTCCAGGGCTCCCCCCAAGCACCTGCACAAGAGCCCTGAAGGTGAGAGACTCATTTATTTATTCATTCAATAAATATTTATTACGCACCTACGAGGTGCCACTTGCTGTTCTAGGCACTGTGAATCGAACAGGCAGAGATTCCTGCCCTGCTGGAGCATGCAGTCTAGTGGGGGAGAAACAGTAAAGAATAAACAAGTAAATTTTATAGAGTGTCTGAAGGTGATAAGTGCTATGGAAAAACAAAAGTGGAGCAGAGTCCAGGAGGTCAGGAGTCCCAGGGTTGGGTAGGGTTACAAGTTTAAATAGGGAGTTGAGGTGGGCCTCATTGAAGAGGCACCATGCGAGCAATGACTTGATGGAGGTGAGGAATCTAGGCACATGTTATCTGGGAGAAGACTGTTCTAGTCAGAGGCAAGAGTCAGTGCAAAGGTCCTGTGGCCGGTGTTTTTCAGGAACAGTAAGGAGGTCAGTGTGGTTAGAGGGAGTGAGGAAAGGGGAGAGAAGCAGATGAGGTCATAGAGATACTGGAGACCAGTTCATACGCGTCCTTGCAGGTCCCTATAAGGACTCAGGCTCTGAGTGAGATGAGCAGCTACTGCAGGGCTTGACAGAGGAGTGACAGTGACCCTTTTTGATGCTGCTGTCACCTCCACCTCCAGTGGCCTTTCTACCATTGCTCCAGGCTTCCATACACTAATTCCTACACTCACCATGACTCTCAGGCATTAGACCTCATGGTGCCACCTTTCCCTCCTGACCCGCCCCCTGCCTTGGCCCGACTTGGGCCCCTGTCTCTCTTTCCCCAGGCTGGCTGAAGGGGCTTCCTGGGGCCTTCCCTGCCCAGTTGGTGTGTGAAGTCACAGGGGAACACGAAAGGAGGAAGCACCTTCGCCAACACCAGAGGCTCCTTGAGGCTGTTGGGCCCTCTTCAGCCACCCCCAGTGCCCCCCCACCCTAATGCAGCCTAGGGAGGGGGCACAGGTTGGGATAGCTGCAGCATGGCATGGAGAGGACAAAGCCCATCCATCCATTGGATTCGCTGTCAGTGAAAACGCTACCTCTAGTGGCAACCAACAGGGACTGAGCTTCAGGACAGAGCAGCCAATGAAAACAGGGCTGGCAGAGCCCAGGCAATGATGGAGAATGAGGATGGCTTGAGGGTATTGCCAGTGGAGACAGAGTGGACAATGGGTGCCGAGCTGGCTATGCCCTTGGCCAATGAGTATCCCTGCGATGGTCACAGACAAGGAAGATGAAGCTAGGTCAATGCATTTAAAAAGGGCCGAGCTGGAGTCAAACTCCTAGGATTAAAATAGCCAACAGTGATGAGCAGGGACCCATCCAGCCAAAGAAGATAGTGATCCAGGCCCAAGAGACCAGTAGTGACACTGCTTGGTTTTATCGCAATGACCTGTCCTGTCCTTTGAGTCTGGGAAGTATTAGATTCCATTCCCAGGGTGCCTCCTGTGCCCCCTCAAGCCACTTCTCTTCTGGAATCCAGAGTGTGTTTCTCAGAGAACCCGTGTGTGTGCGTATGCATCAGAGAAGGTGATTCTGCTGAATGTGGGGTGTGGTCTTGGCCCTCTCCCAGATGACTGAATGCTCCATTTCTTCCCTCATCCTCCATTTTTCCTATTATTCTCTCCAAGACACTAGGTCTGAGCTCCAGAAGAGAATGTGCTGGGTGTGGCTTGGCAGCCAGAGGCCAGAGCTGGGGAGGAGAGCCCCGGGTTCTGGGTCTCTTGGAGGCCAGGGCTCCATGACAGTCAGAGGGTTATGTTATGGAGCAACCAAGCAGCTGGCAGAGGAGCCCAAGGGACTGAAGATGGCCAGCAGCTGGGGCCCGAGGCCCCTTGAAGCCCACAGACCTTTCTCCTTGCCCCAAAACTTGGCCTCCGTAATTCCTGCCTACACATCCTCCAACCTGAACTATAACCAGTTGTCCAGACTCAGCCTCAGGCTTTGGACTGACTCTGAGTCCCAGCTTTGGGTGAAGAAATGGAAGCTGTGGATCACTGGCCAGCTGGTGAGCCTCCCAGGCTTTCTTGCCTTCATCCTGGTCCTCTCAGAGAAACACTGGGCCAAGCAGTGGGCAGAGAACAGAGAGCCAGTGTTGCTGCCCAACTTCATCCAGAGCATCTGCTTCCAGATGAGAAACTGTCCCCACACGATGCCAGAAGGAGGTGAGGGATGAGACAGAGCGGAGCAGACACTTGCTGGCGAGTGGGGGCCCAGGCCTGGCACAGAGCCTTCCCTGAGCTAGGCCATCAAACCTTCCCTTCAGGTCATGCATGGCAACTTGCCCAGGACAGAAACTGCTACGCTGACCACAGGAGGTGCAGGGACTCTGGGAGACTCAGAGGGAGAAAGGCCTGGCATTTGGCATGTCCATGACTTTGGAGATTCTCCTAGCACGGTGCCCGGCATATGAGAAACCTTCAATAAATGTTGGTGGAGCTGTATTGAGGCTCTTCAGGGGAGTGTGTGTTTCCAAACGTGGCTTTATAAGGGGGGTGGGGCTGGTGGGAAAGGGATTCTTTGAGAGCAGGTGTCAGTTCTGCTGGGAGCTGGGGCTTGGAGACCAGGTGCAAGGCCTGAGTGTGTTGGGCCACTCAGCTCCCGAGGGAGCTAAGGCGGTGGCGGTGGTGGTGGGTTTGCAGATGCTGGGGCAGAGGGCTCCTGCAGGTTGGGGAAGAAGAAGAGGGAGGACCAGGTATGGCTGGGGCCCCAATAGGGGATGAAGGTGCAGCGAGGACAGAAAAGGCAGGTGCTCAACAATACAGGTCCTTTACTGAGGAGCCAAGCATCTCTGTGTTTAATTCAATTCAATTCTACACCTATTTATTGAGTGCCTTCTATGTGCCAGGCACTGTTCTAGGATCTGGGGATGCAGAGATACAAAAGCCAAGGGCCTTGCCCTCGAGGTGCCTACATTCTGCGGGGGCAGGGGAAGCACAATTACCAAGTGAACAAATTAATAAGTAAGATAAAATTAGGTAGCAGTGAGTGCTGTGAAGAAAATACAGCAAGGGCTGTTATACAGAATATTGTGTGTGTGTGTGTGTGTGTGTGTGGCTTTGGGCAAGACCCTGGAGGAGGTGACATTTGAGCTGAGACCCAAATGACTAAGGAGGCAGCCCTGGGAAGATCTCGGCAAAGAGCATTCCAAGGGTGGCAACAAGAGGGCTGAAGTCCAGGAAGGGAAGGTAGTGGTCGTGGGAGGGAGCTGGGGCATGAGCTCCCTCAAGGTTCCTGGTGGGGGGAGCCCCTCCCCCTTTTGCTTTGTGCCCCGCCCCCCCCCCCCGAGATGCTCAGAGAGACAGACAGACATCCAGAGGCAGACACAGAGCTACACATGTGCCCCATATACATTCCCTCCCAGCTCCTCACCCCTCCCTGAGTCCGGCTGCTAAGAAAGTCCCCATGCTCCAATTCAGAGGTTAATAACAGGATAATGGGGAGATGGACACCAGATAAGAGTTGTTTTGGGGACATAAATGCACATAAAATACAACCACATGTTCCAAACAGAAACTGAAAAGACAGGGAGGGAAGGACTGCCATGTTTCCTGACTTCCCAGGGTGGGTGTCTGTTATCTTAGAGACTTCTTTCCATTTTGGAGTGACCTGAGTGTGTCTGTGCCGTCCTGGAGGGGTCTGCATTCTGCAGGCCTGTCTAAGAGGGCTGAGGGGCATGAAGCACAGCTACACGGGAAGGGGGCGGATGTGAGGGAATGAGGACCACCAACGTGGAGAAAGTGGATGGGACAAGGAGTGGGGCCAGAGAAAGGAGGACAGAGGAGGAGGCTGATGGGGGGGCAGTACAGGCGGTACAGGACGCGATAGGTGACTTGGCTCATCCTAAATTCTCTCCCTCCCTCTCCCCCGCACCCTCTGCCAGGCATCTACCTCTCTGCCATAGCTGTGTACTACCTCCTGCTGGTGTCCATCATCCTCTCTGTCCTGGTTGCTTCCGGCCTTCCTGCCCCCCTGGGTTGCCCTCTGCAACTTCCTCGCAGGTGTGGCAGGAGGGTCCCTGGGAAGAGAAGTCGCTCGGTGCTGCCCTGTCTGGCATTCCAGGCATGGTGAGGGGGGGTGGTGGTAAGGGTCAGTACAAATGTCCCAGGTGGTAGAGAGGTTCACTGACCCACTTGGGGAGTCCTGGATCTATTACCCCATTCCTTCACATTCTATCACGCTGGGGAAGGTGAAGGACGAACATTTTCACAGGCTTAGGAGAGACACAAGTGTGCCCCAGGTCTCAGGGAGGTGCCTCAGGGGACAGGGTGGGGAAGCTGGGCCCCTGTTGGGAGTCTGTCTCTCTGAGTTGGTATGTGCTTTCTCCGCTCACAGCCCTTCTCCTCATACTCGTGGCCTCCATATTTGTGGAGTCCATGATAATGCAGATGGCGCAGGGCACTGACCTCTCTTTGTGCTAGCCCTTCTATGGGCTCTGGGTCAACAGTGTTGTGGCCATTATTGCTGGCGAGCTGAGGGGGCTTGCAATCACAACCATAGGCAACAGGTGGATGAGAGGAGCCCCCCCTTCTCCCCGCAGCCTGCTCACTAGCTCTCTCACCTCTGCTAGTTCCACTGACCCCTCCAGCCCACTTCCTGTGATCCTTTGCAGAGCCCTTCAGCCTGGCTTTCTGTCCATCTCTAAAAGCTTTTTTCTCTCCTCTCTCCTTCCTCTCAGGGCTCCACTCTCTCTTCAGCTACAGGGCATCTTTGTGCTGGTTTCTGTTTTGGGTTGGCCAGTTTACCCAGGCCGGCACACCATACCGGTGAAGGAGGACTTCTCCACCAGCCTGATGAACTCCCGAAGGCCACCCCGACCTTGCTCCCCAGCACGCCCTCTCCAAACTACCTCAAACTACCGACTCTCCACCCTCCAGCGCCTCAGGCCACACCAAGGGGAGCAAAGCGGCTGAACTCCCCGAGGTTTCGCTCGGATCCGAACGAGACAACCGGCCCCCTGAGGGGCGTGACCGGGACCTCCCTGGCTCCGCCCCCAGTGGTTGGCCCCGCCTCCAGGCGGGGCTCGGCATCTCCCGGCCCTGCTACTCTGGCTCTCTGCAGCCCACCCAGGCCGACAGGGCGTGGGGGGCTTCCCGCCCAGGGCCTCAGCAGGTCTTCGGGCGCGGCTGGATCTACTGGTTCTCAGCGCTCGCCTCCCACGCGAGGCAGGGCCTGGCGCTGGCCGGTCCCCGCCGAGGAATCCTTGAGATGTCGAGGCGCGGGCTCTTCGTGGGCACTCAAGCGCGCCGATGCCCCCTCTGCGCCGGCGAGTGCTGGGCGCCGCTCCCCGCGCCTCTGGCCTTGCCCACCGACCCGCCGAGCTCTCGGAGTCGCCTCGGCCTTTCTGAGGTCCGGGGCCGGCTTTTAAGCTGGTTGATCGGCTTCGGACGCAACTCGTTCAGCTTCTGAGCATCCGAGGCGGTGTTGCGTTTTCCATCGGTCCCAGTTCCTGGGAACTTAGCCCTGCCTTAATGTTTAAGCTCAAAACTGCTCCACATCCGACCCACTGACTTCTGGAGTCTCATCTCACTCCTCCTGGCCCCTAATTTTCTGTTTCTCCCTTTCACTGGTCCGTTTACCCCTTTGCCCTCAGCCCCCTGGAATCGCCTCCCCTTCGCTTCTGAAACCTTTCCCCACTCCGTCCACGTTTGGAAGTAGGAAGCTGCCCTCTGCGGTAAGGGTTGGGGTTGAATCCAAATTTTGTGGGGCCCTTTCTAAGAAAAAGAATACAAAATATGAATTAAAAGTTGGGTATGAAAGTATTTAGAATGATAAAAGAAATGATAAATCACATTTTAAAAAGCTGATAAATACGACGAACGTAAAAACCCAGATAAATAAGATAATTTTACGAATTTCTTGACACATCGCTAATATTTTTCTCCTGTGATCTTTGGTGGCATACTGTCATTGCCTCTTCACATGACGATGATATTATAATTTTCTACAGAGAGGATAATTCAGTTTTTCCTCTAGCACGATTGATTAAAATATGTTTCTTATTAATACTTTAGAAAAGTTTCTTTCTGCTTCATTACTTTTTATTGGTAATGACATACATTTTTAGGAATGTTGTCAAATTTGGGAAAGCATCTATCAATTTTCCCATATGACCTCTTAAAATTTCAGAGCATTTCACATTTTTATATGCAGTTGCTAATCTTAAATGCTCTTTGAATTGACAGGACTCGTGAGCCACTTTTTCCATGAACCTCCTCATTCTAAGGACGTGAGTTTTGTGCCAAATCATCACGAAATTTAAATATTTTCCACTGCCTTTCTTTATATGATCTACTCTTCATTAATTGCATTATCAAATAATCTGTGAATTTTTAAATTATTCCATACATTGGTTTAGAGATTAATATATGCAAGTGTTTTGTCAATGAAATGTTTTTTCAGGTTGATTTTCTCTGTTATTGGCAATTACGCGTCCATTTCTCAGGAGCTGCCATGCTTTGTCAGAAAAAGATGCATAAGATATGCCAAAAGGCGTTCCTATACATGGAGTTTCATAAAACTTTCAACTTTACATAGACCTGCTTGCCATTTCTAGGCTTGCTAGGGATTTGTGCCCTGCAATCACGGGGATGCTGATAAATTCTAATTTATATGATCACCATCTAAAAAGAGAAAATGCATAGTGTATTTTTAGTTGTAGATGATGTATTGTTGAGGATATTACTGACAGATGAGAATCTCAGTTTTGGGTAGGCATGAATACAAATTGAAGCCTCCTAATTTTTCACATCCAATGGTTGGAATTTTCCAATCATTATCTGGCTTCTGGTGTTGCATATCTTGATTTTGTTCCACTACTCTTTGGGGTTCCTGTACCCAATTCCAACCTGTGTATGTGTGTGTGTCTGTGTGTGTGTGAGTAAGGCCAGCAGGTGTCTGAGAATTCACCTCAACTCTGATGCCATCTATTGGGAGATAGAATCAGATTCCACAGGTAAAAGGGCTCAGCCCAGTAATGCTGCCCTCTGCTTCAGCAGCCAGTGCAAGTCCAGGTTATTACCTGTGCTTCTGACCTACTAGCTACAAACTGGAGGTTCCCATGATCCCCTCCTCAGGTTCATTTAATTTGTTAGAACTGCTCGCAGAACTCAAACCCATTTACTCACTAGATTACTGATTTATTACAAAGCATATTAAAGGATACAAATAAATAGCCAGATGAAGAGATACATAGGGCAAGGTCCTGAATAAAGGAGCTTCTGTCCTTGTGGAGCCTGGGGCCCCAGAACGGTGGAACATGGAAAGATTCTGCTTCCCCAACATGGAAGATCACCACAACAGGCCCAAGGAGCTGTCCTTTTGGATTTTTATGGAGGCTTCATTGCATGGTCATGATTGACTAAGTCATTGGCCATTGGCAATTGATTCAACATCTCCCCCCTCCCCACACCAAATCAGGGGGTGGGACTGAAAGTTTCAAACCTGTGATCACATGGCTGCT